TCCATGGGCAGCCCTGAACTTCCAGGGCTTCTGCAGGACAGGGAATGGGAGAGGGTGTCAGAGCCAGCCCATGCCGTTTCGCTCGCTCCCTAGTTCCCAGCTGCCCAGGGGAGGTAGAGCTTGCTCGGAGGGGCCCATACAACAATAAAACCATTATTCCGGTTTTACACTGACATTTTCAGTTATACTTAATCGTTTGGAGGCTTTAACGCAGTAACGCTGCTCCGATACCCCGCTCGAGGCCTCCACCTGCCCCTCCTTTAAGTTCCCTGCATTTCCCCGCTTTTAAAAGAACTTTGATGCGTTCGGACTAGCCCCGGACTAGTCAAACCTGCATTTGGCTTTTTATACAACGTACAGCGTGACCTGGACTCGGCGGAGGTTATGTGTGCGTTAAGAGTCGAGAATCGGTATAAAACTCGCTGCGTCCTTGGAGGAAGAGGCAAAAGAAGATGGGCACGAAGAGAAGGGCCGGGGGCTGGAGATGCCCCGGTGGCTGCAGCGGGTCCCTCTGGTCTCAGCCGGTGGCTCCTCGGATTTATTTTTACCCCGATTTCCCCCCGCTGCCGAAACCTGCGGCGAGCGCAGGAAGCAGGAGGTGACGCCGTAAAAAGCTGTCGGGTTTTGCTCTGTTTTTCTGTATTTTTGGCCTTTTAACCGCTTCCTGGCAGCCGCTCGCGCTCCGCTGGTGCCTTTCTTTGCTGCCTTCCCTGGGGCGCCTTCGGGGCCCCTTCCCATTCCCGTTCCCATTCCCGCCGGCCCCTCGGCAGCGCCCGGCCCCGCGCACGGGCGGCAGCTCCGCCGCTTCCCTCTCGGCCTTTTGGTGTCCATTATATTTAGCTGAAAACGGGGGAGTTTTGGGGAGCCGTGCCCGCCAATCTGCTTGAATTGACACAGGGTTCTGTACACCTATTATTATTATTATTATTATTATTATTATTATTATTATTATTATGTTTTTGGGGAGCGAGATACGTTCTGGAAGGGCCCCAAATCACCCCTTCCCGCTGCACGGCCCCCGGCGCAGCCCTGTGGGCTCAGGGCCTCGCAGCTTTTCAGCCAGGAAAGGGCCAGTTTAATTAATGGGGGTCTTTGGTGAAGCGGAGCCTGGGCAGTCTGTGCGAGGCGGGCAGGTGATTCCGCCCCAAGAGAGCGACGCGCAGGTCAGGAGGGAGAGGAGAAGAGGAGGAAGAAGAGAGGGGTGCAGGGGAGAGGAGAGAGGAAGAGGGGAAGAGGAGAGTGAAAAGGAGAGACAAGATACAAGAGCTCGCTTCCCCGCGGCTGCTGCAAGTCTGGAGGCCTTCGGGGAGCCCCAGTTCACACGGAAGCGGAGACGGGGAAGCTCCGTCCCGTATTCCCTGCTGCACCAGGGGAAACCACGGCCCCAAGCRACAGCTGCTTGCGGTGCTGCCACGAAAACCCTCACACGCACCGCCTTTCATTTTGCAGTCATTTATTTATTCATTTTGTGGGCTCTGCTTCCAGCAAACGTCGCGGTCATCGCCAACGCTTCCCCGTTCAGATCCGGGTCGCTGCGTTATACCCACGTGGAGGGGAAGCGGCAGGGCCAAGGGGGCTGTTTCCGAGCTGGAGAACGAGCCCATCTGCCCCCAACGAGGSCCGGCCGCCTCCTTGCTGCTCATCGTGGGGTAACTGGGGCCACCTGCGAGCGAGGCCCCTCATAAGAGGCTGTGGCAGCGGCCTGGCCCCTCTGCTGCAGGCGCGTGGCTCCCGGGGGCCGGGGAGGCTCCACACGGGGCTCGTTTTGGGGAGGGAGACGGGCCGGGCTCCTGTCGTGTGTCTGCGCTCAGCCCTGGCCATGGGGCCGTCGCCTCTGCACCTGCTGGCGATGATGATGGTGACGATGATGATGGTGACGCCCCTGGCGACGCCCCTGGCGCCGGTCCCGCGGGCGCCGCTCACGGCCCCGGGCTCTGCCCGCACAGTGAGTAACCGCTCGCAGCGAGTAACCGCTTGCAATGAGTAACTGCTCACAGTGAGTAACTGCTGAGTAACTGCTCGCAGCGAGTAACTGCTCGCAGCGAGTAACTGCTGAGTAACTGCTCGCAGCGAGTAACTGCTCCTGAGTAACTTGGTGTGCCCAAGTCCCCATTGGAGTGGGGTGGGTTGGGGTGTCCCCACGGTGCTGCCCTGTTGCCAGGGCCGGGGGTCACTGGGGTGGGCTGGGGCCGTCCTCCCTTCCCGCCAGGCTCCACTCGGGGCTGCAGCGGGGCCGGGAGCCGCTCCGGGTGGTGCCGGGGCCACTCGGGGCTGCAGCGGGGCCGGGAGCCGCTCCGGGTGGTGCCGGGGCCGCTCGGGGCTGCAGCAGGGCCGGGAGCCGCTCCGAGCAGCACCGGGGCCGCTCGGGGCTGCAGCGTCGCCGCTTCTCTTGCAGGCGTGCGGGTCCCACCGCGACGGCCGGACGGCCGGGCCAGGTGAGCGGCAGCTTCGCGCCGGCCGAGGCCCCGGGGGACGGGAGGTGCTGGGCCGGAGAGCAGGAATCCTCCCTGCTGGAGGAGAAGGGGACGGGGATGGCGCCCGGGAGGTGACACGGCCGCGATGCCGGTGTCCGCAGACGCAGGAGCTCGTGCGGAGCGAGCGGCCACCGCACACGAGTGTCTAGTCTCGCTCCTGCAGGGCAAGCTGCCGGCTCGGGGCCCCTCGAGCTGCCAGATACAGTGTTCTCCAAAACCATCTTTATTTTTCGCCTGCCTAAGGGAAGGCGTTTCCCACTAAAACCAAGGAGTTCGGGCAGGAAAAGGCTTCTGAGGCATCTCCGCTCCGGAACTCCAGCTGTGGGTCTCTGCTGGGAGAATTCCCCCATCCYGGGGCTCAAGCAGCTCCCAGGAGGCGACTCCTGGCTCCTGTGGTCCCGGCTCCTACTTGAGCCGTGCACAAGGCTCTGGGAGACGGACCCGCGGGTCGTGCCCGCGTTGAGGTGCCCCAGGAGCCGGGACGGTTCGCGTGGGTGTCGGCTCTGCCCTCAGCGGCGCCCGGGGCTGCCCCGGCGCCGCTCGCCGCCGCGCTGGGAGGAGGCGGGAGCGGGAAGGCGACGCTCGCCCACGGGGCAGGCTTCTGGAGGCTCCTCCTGTGTCCGGTGGTGCCGGTGGGGAGCCCTGGCCAGGAGCAGCTGAGGAGGCCTGGAGGCTGCTCCTGGGAGTAAGGCCTAGCACGGCCTTCGGGAAGCGGAGCGGGAGGGAAGACTCGCAGCCTCTTGTCTTGCAGGGTCGGAGCCGTCGTGGATATGGGCCTACGTTCCCATGCGGAGCTGCCACCGCGTCCTGCGGGACAAGCGCGGGCGGTTTTCTCCCCCAGCGTACCGCAGCAGCTCCCCGCTGAGCTTCTGGTGCAACTGGACCATCTGGGCGGGCTCCAGGCAGCACATCGTGGTCTACATCCAGGGCTTCGCGGCCCAGGAGGACTGCGGCACGAACGAGGACAAAATCCTCTTCGAGGGGGTCTCCTCCCTGGCGGAGGACACCGCGGTTTACGCCTGCTGGGGAAGGGACACTCACGTGTTTGCCACCTTCGCTGAAGCCGTGCACGTCGTGCTGCTCAAGACCTACCTGCCCAGCTGCAGGGAYGCGCAATTCCAGGGCACCTATTACGTCTTCCACCACGAGGAAGCCGGGTTGTCCCCCGGGGAGCATTTGCCCCCTGAAACTCCCGCTCCAAAACCAGAGCGAGCCCACGTTGTTGAGACCGGGCGGAAGGACATCCCTGAGGATTTGGGCCAGACGCGGGGGGTTTCACGCCCGCTTCCCRAAACTCCCCTGCTTGGAGCCTTGCAGGGAGAGGAGCCTTTCCTTGGTGTGCACCTGGAGAGCAGGCGGCCTTTCCTGCAGCCCGCGGATCCGGGAGACCCGCGGCTGGATATTAGACCAACGCGCGCGGGAGGCCRGGAGCTGCCTCTGCCCGCCCGGGATTCCTCTCCGGGCGGAGCGGAGGACGTGGGCGCTGCCGCGTCCCTGGGGCTCGGCACGGGCGGGCGGGAGCACACGGAAGGGTGTCCCCCGTGGAGCAGCGCGGCCGGTGGAGCGAGCAGCGCTCCTGCCGAGAGCCTGCTGCCCAGCCGGGCCCTCCCCAGGGAGCCGCTCCGCGAGGACCGCTCCTCTCTGCTGCCCGGGAGAGGCTTTGCAGAGCCCTCGCCTAGGACTGAACCCCTGCTGAGAACAAGTGTCCTCCAGCCCACAGCGCTCCTGGATTTCCCCGCTCCAGGAAGTCCCGGGCAAGTTTCGAAGGTGGAAGAGCTGCTGCGCCCAACGGGATCATGGGCTGTCCCCAAAGGCCGACCTCAGCCGAGCACCCGGAGCAGCTGCACCCTCCAAGCAGCACCCGCAGACCCCAGGAGCACCGACCCACGCGGTGCTTACGTGCCCCACGTGTCGGCGGTGCCAGCGTGTCCCACGGCTGATCCTGCACGTGCRGGGCTGGGCTCCGCTGGCCTCCCCCTGGCAGAAGAGCCTGTGGAGCAGGGAATGTTGGAGCCTTCTGCTGTCTTCACCACGAACGCTGAGGGCTTCACGGGGCCACCAGCGCGGGAGCTCAGGGGACCTGCGGAGGGGATGGAGCCCCCATCAGCCCCACAGAGCGCGGCTGGACCGTGGAYCTCCGCCGCCTGTAGCGCCCAGCAAGGGGGAGACTTTGGGGGTGCCCTYGTGGGCCCCGGTGTGAGAAAGCTGGTGCTGGATGATGGAGACGGTGCCGAGAGCGGCTGGAGGGGTCAAGCACCAGCGCCCACCACCCATGATCTTCAGCAGCAGCTCCCTGACCTGCCGCTTGGCAGGGGGYTTCCTCCTCCACCAGAGGACCTGGAGGCCCCATCGCTCCCACCAGTGCCCGTGTCTCTGCCCCCTAGCCCTGCGCCCCAAGGTCCATGGATGGCAGGAGRAGGACAGCATCACAAACACGCTGGTGGGTCTTTAATGGGTGTTATCTTGGCATAAGCAGCCCTTGGGCAGGAGGCTTCCCACGCAGGGGTTGTCTTCCCAAACCTGGGTTGGGTGTGGAACCATCYGGTAGGCTCCTATGGTGCCCATCTAGTAAGAGCCGCTGCTGGCTGGAGCTGGGCAGGGTGGACATGTCGGAGTTGGYGTGGTCTGGGACAGACCAGGCTCCTGGGAAGGGGGATCATCCCCTAGAGATGTGGCTGTGGGGGCTGAACTCCTCCAGTCTTGTGGTAGGAAACGATTTGAACCGTGGTCTTCTGTGATCACTGGTGTTGCTCCTAGAAGTGCTATCTGTTCCCTGGTGCATAAAATAACTGCTGACCGTGTCTCCTCTCTGCTTTTGTCCTGCCTTGCCAGAGCTGGGACCGCCCTGGGCAGTGGAATATCTTCCCGTCAGGAGCTGCCATGTTGTCTTGCAGGGTGACTTTGGCTTGTTCTACCCTCCGCTGCACAGCGACGTTCAAACCAACGTGTGGTGCAACTGGACCATCCGGGCTGGCCCCCAGAAGCACGTCCTGATCTACATCCAGGGCTTTCAGACGGATGAAGGCTGTGACAGGAACCAGGATAAGATGGTTTTCCAAGGGGTCTCGTCCAGCGTGGAAACCAAAGTCGTGCACGCCTGCTACAACCGAGGCACCGTGGTCTTCGCTACGCAGGCCACCGCGGTCTATGTGCTGCTCCTGTCGGGASCTGCTTCCCTAGGCAGCAAATACCAACACTTTAAAGGGCGATATTATATATTTAGAGACTATGGAGCTGTGGGCTCTTCCCACGCAATGCCAGCTCCTGCCCGGGATATCTCCAAGATGGATATCTCCAGCGGGGTCAGCCAGCCTCATGGGCTGGAGGAAGGTGCTCACGGGGGCGAGTTCAGTCTGCTGGAGGATGGAATGGAGCTGGAAAGGAGCCTTGGAGATGGCAAAACGGAGGGGAGAGGAGGTGGTGAAGGGGTGTTGGTGGAGGCAGCTGCAGCCGGGGGAGACGCTGGGCGAAACATCAAGTCGCCAGCTCCGGATACCATGGAAGGAGCTGCCCAGCTGGAGCCCAGGTGGGTCCCCACAGCCATGGGGGGACCCACAACCCTGGATGTCCCTCTGGAAGCACCCAAGAGCTCTGCAAGGCCCTCAGCTGCCAGAATCCCACCTAACCTGACCCCCACACGGAGTGCCCTGTGGGTGGGAGGCGCGACTGTCACCAGGAGTTCTCCCACGCAGATGGCAGCGATGGAAGAGCCACCACTTCACACAAATGTGAAAGCTTCTTCTYTCCACCCCTCTGTGGGCATGACTGCTGGAGGTACAGCCACGACGGGAGACAGCCAGGAAGATCTCCTTGGTAAGGTCTCTGTCATTGCTGGTGCCTGGCACTACCCAACCATCACCTCCAGCCMAGCAGGACACCCAAGAGGTTTGATTTTTACCTCCAGTGTCCTGGTTCATGAAGTGGGTCTTGATTTCTACCATATTCAAGGAAGGTGGTACTTGAAAAGACTTGAGCGGGGCTATTTGTGGAGGGCCCAGTCTCTTGACTAAGACTTTACACCCAAAGCAGACTGCGAGTGTCGGGCAGCCCTGACTTGAGTAGCTTTTTGCAGCTRTAGCATGATGCTCCAAAGAGCTGTCATTGCATTGGACTGCCAGATTTTTGAGAGAAGGGGGAGAAAAGAGCTGGATGCCTCTCCTTGAAGTTAAGAATTGCTGGTGGGCCTTCTTCATAGAAGATTTAGCCACAGATATTTCTTAGTTCCTGTATGAAAGGAGAATGATTTTTCCTTTTYGCCTCCGTGTCTGGCAGTTCTTGCCCCTTCCCTGGGGTGCAGGGAAGTGTTGCCTATAAGGTTTTGTCATTGCTGAGGTCCCCTACAAGACCAGAGCCTCTTTGTTCATGAACAGTCCAAGGCAGCTCTGTGGGCTGCAGCTTGGGAGACTTCACAGACTAGCACTTATCCTCGTCCAGAAATGGAGATGAGGTTTATTGGGGTGATTAATCCCTAAYGAGCCTTTCTCTATGGAGAAGAACAGCTTGTATTTACAGCTTGACTTCTCGTGTTGGTACAATGACTCGGGAAGGGATTGGACATATGGTGCTTTGACGGAAGCGACTCCTAAATAATGAACTTGCCCCTCGCTGGCAYGCCGAGCTCCGCAGCCTCAATCTTCTCTTTGCTCTGACAGATCTGGCTTCTCTTCTGGCATCCCTTGAGAATGACACTGTGCTTCGATCCCAGCACCATCCTGGAGGTAGGTGGTTTAAATGGGGCTTAAAACACTGCTCATCCAGAAGCTTTTTTTGCTGAGAAATTAGCTAGGACCAACAGGCATCTGTCTTTGACTAATGGACATTCTYTAGTAGATATTTCAGCAGGATGTCRGTGCCAGTTTAAGGATGTTCCTCACTGAAAAGTCTTCCTCTCTGCCCCTAACTAAGTAGGTTTAGTGACCATTTTGTCACTGTCTCCAGCCTCCAGGGATGTCTCCTGCACCCAGTGCCTCGGAGCACCTCAGCTTGGGGCAAGTACTTGTATTTGGCCACAGCCAGGAGCCCTCCTGGGCGGCCTGGGGATGGGGAGGGTGCAGGAATGGAGCTTGTCTGAGACCTTGGCACCATCCTGGGCATCTGTGGAGAAGTTCCTCCAAGTGCTGTGTTGGTGCCACGCATGGGCACCAGGAAGGAGTGGAGGATGCACCTGACTAACAGGAATCTGGAAGACTCCAACTTGGAGGTGGTCTGTGCAGTGCTACGGCTGCATTGCAACCACTTTTGTCTTCAGTTCTCCAGGGTACATGCACTCAACCTTATGTAAATGCTGGCATGTTTGAGTTTAAGCGTTACTTGTTGGTGATTTAAAGAGGATTTTCCTCGTGTGGATTCCTAAGAGGATTCCATCACTTCCTCAAATGTACTCCAGTGGCCATCCCAGGGCTACCTGCATCGGATACCTGTATAAATTGTCAAATTGGGGAGAGGTAAAGCTCACGGCTCAGTGAAACAGCACAATTTTAGGCTCGTGTACTAGAGCCAACCTCAAGCACCTTGCAAAAAGGAGCTGCTAAAGAAGGTGGCTGGGTTTTAAACAGGAGAAATATTACTGAATAAATGTGCTTGAAACAACAGACAATGGCAAATCCATGCCAGCCTGGATCCATCCAGAACACAGCTGGGTATCTAAATGAATCCCAGATGAAATTGCTGAGATGGGGGAGTTCTCCCAGCCACAAATTACGACAATACCTTTGGGAAAGGTCAAGAACAAGCAGATGTATGCAAGTGCTTTGTATCCCTTTTGTTCCAAGAGCAATTCCAGTGTTCAGTGCTGAGCGTGAGCTGGGGTTTGTCACTAAACCTCTGGAAATAGTCATGTAGCTCCAACTTCCCTGGGCATGTCCTTGTGCTAGCTCTGCTGCTGCTATTGTTATCCTGGGTTAGCTCACTTAAGGAGACTGTTATGTGAACTTCAGAAACATGATGAGACCTTGTGCATTTTGGTAGATATGCTCTTTGAAGTAACTGTTGAAATCAAACACGTGGACTGGGTCCCTCGTGGTGGAAGAGAGCTCAATAAGGATCTTCTTGAATCCATGAAGAGTCATGTAAGGCTGGGAATGGGAGCAGGGAGCTCACTTCTGGGAGCAGGGAAGCTTATAGCCGAGAAGGGGGCAAGCGCACAAGCGTCCACGTGTGGGGTTGCAAATATGCCTCGTGCTGCTCTCCCCTGGTCCAACTGCCATGACTCCATGGGGAGTCGCTGCCCTTCCYCTTCCCAAACCTCCAGGTACGGAGGGTAAGCTGAGATAAACAGTGGGGAGCTGTGGGACCTGGTGTGGGTCCTGAATGGCCCACAACGGGGAAGAGTGGTGGGGAGGAGATCTGCTCACTGCTAAGTCCCTGTATAGAGAAGCACTGGTTTTTCTGTTGCTTTGCAGATCCAGAAGAACCTGAAACTCTCTGCCAACAGAGTCAATGAAATAAAGTTCAAGGAAATCAGAAGGTAGGGTGGATGCTGCACCATCAGCTCGGTAGGCACAGCTTCGCTATAACCTCTAGTATGTCCTTGGATCGTCCTGGCTTTCATCTTCCTTCCACAAAGACTTYTGTGTTCCTGTCCCACCATGTGTACCTTGTCCTTAAAGCAGAGAAATGTCCTTTCCATTGGAAAGAGATGGTGAAAACCCATGTTTAGGGTTGCCTGGAGCGTTTATAGGCCTGGCGGGTGTGAACGGGCTTCCACAGCAGGGCCCTGTCCCACAYGGGCTGTCCCTCGCCCGCAGGGCGGGCAGGGAGAACCTGCTGCTCACCTTCTGGCTCCACCTGAGGCCGGAGCAGAGGAACCTCTCCGTGGCGYTGCGGGCGCAGCTGCAGGAGCTGCTGGGCAAGCCCGGGGGAGCGGAGAGACCGCGGCTGCTTTCACTCGTGGTCGAAGGTATGGGCTCCGTGCTGTCCTTCGTGCCCAGCCCTCCCTGCTTTGTGGCACTTGTGGGGCAGAAGCTGCTGTTGATGGTGTGGGGAGGTTTGGGGCAGCCTTCTCGCTTGTGGCAGATGTGGACGAGTGCGGCCTGGGGCTCTGCGGGGAGGCCGCGGACTGCTTCAACGGCGTGGGCACCTACCTGTGTCGCTGCAAGGAGGACTACGAGGACCGATCCCCTGCCAAGTCTGGCACGCTCTGCGTCCCCGCGCCCCGCTCAGGTAGGACACGGAAATGGCTTCACGTTTTGGTTGGAAGTAACAAAACGTGACACTTTCTTCCAAAGCTTCCAGTGACAAAATGCTCAAATGTCTCTGAATAACAGCAGATGGGTGAAACGCCCAACAGTTACGCTTGCCTGAACATGGACTCAAAACTTGTGTGTTTTACCCATGCTTTCCATTCCAAACCCATCAGCCAGTTAGTTGCTGGTCTGAAACCTATCCAGATCAGCAGGATATTATATGATCACATCTKTAAGATCTCCTTCTTTGGAGATCTTTAAAACCCGCTTGGACGCAGCCCTGTGCCACGTGCTCTAGGTGAGCAGGGGGTTGGACTAGATGACCTCTGAGGTCCCTTCCAACCTTAAGCATTCTGTGATCTTTCATAAGTAAATATCCAGCTGAGCTCAGGCAAACGGTCCGCTTTGGACTGCAGCRCCTGTGGCCGAGCGTGAATTCACGAGCGGCTCCGCTCTTTGGAAGCCCCTCCGGATAACGCGGTGCCTGCTCCTCTTCCAGGGCTCCTCCGTTTCCTCCAGCAGCCGGAGGTGCTGGCGGGAGCTGCCCTGTCCGTGGGGCTGCTGCTGGTGGTGGCCGTGCTGGCGCTGCGCAGGGTGAGGAGGCAGCGGCGCTCCGGCGGGAACCCCTTCCCRGAGGAGCGGGGCGCCCGGCCGGAGCCGGAGCGCGTGGTGCTGGAGCTGAGCCGCCTGGAGCGGTGCCTGCAGCTCGAGCCCTTGCAGCTCAAGGTGCGCGCGCGGCCGCCCGAGTGGATCTCGCGGGCCCGCGCCGGCCCTGCCTGCGGCCGCCTCCTGCCGCAGGAGCAGCCTGTCCGAGGGAGCGCGGCGCTCGGAGCCGCGCGGCGTGACSGGGACACGGACGTGCCTGGTGCCTAACCTGCCTTTCTGGGCGCCACGGCTGCGTCTCCTGCCGCTTCCTCTGTGTGAGACGGGCATTGCTGGCTCCTTTTCTGTGGATGCTCTTCCACAACCCCTTCTGGTTTGTYTCGTAGACCACAGCTATTCCAGCCTTCCTTGGGCTCTTCTTTTAACGCCTGCTTTGCTTTCCAAGGTTAAGCCCTTGCTCTCAGCTACGAGTGCTGTCAGCTTATTCCCCCTGAGGTCTGCTCCTAACTCTCGTTATAAATGCTTTTAAAGAATAAAAACAAGATGTTTCAGTACTTCAGTGTAACCTTTGCTTCCTTAAGGTGGTTCTTAATCGCTATTCAGTGCCAAAAAAGCCCCACGCAATCCCCCTAAGTGGTGTGCACCAGGACTCCCAACACTGCTCTGCAGCGGGAGYGTCTGCACGGGAGCAAGTCCCTGTGTGTAGGATGGGTTTGGTGGCAGATGTCCCACTGGAGGGCAGTGTCTGCCACCAAAAGCCGGTCACTGCRTGCCTGGACACCTCTTGCTGCACTGCTTTACCTTCCACTTTTCCCCAAGATATTTCCCTGGCCACGGGTCCCTTCTGGGGTGCTGCTCCTGCATGAGGGCCCACGGGTGGGCTTTGGAGGCTGTGGGTACCCGAGTCTCGTTTCCCTTGGTCCTGGCATTTCCCACCCTGGACTTGCAAGGGGAGAGGATTAAACGTGAGCATCCAGCCAGGCAGGGGCATCAGTGGGTGCAATTCTCCATCCCACAGCAGGAGAAACTCTCCCTGGGTCCCTGTGTGCACAGAGCAGCCTTGTCTTGCTCTGTGGCAGCAGGAGCTGAATAATGCTGCTGTTTCCCCAGGGAAAGGAGCTTTCCCAGACCTGGAAAAACAGCGAGTGTTGGCCCCTTGGCTGGTCTCCCTATGTTGGGCTGAGTCTTTCCCTGGGGTGCTTCCAGGTGCTGCCAAAATCAGGTGTGCTGCTTGCTGAGCACCGGCTGGGCTGCTCTCTCCTTGGCTGCAAGGTGCTGACAGCAACCAGGTGGTGATTAAAAGCACATGTGTTTGATTAAAAGCATATGTGTTTGATTAAAAGCACATGTGTTTGCTACAAGGTGGGGAAAAAGCAACCAGCAAGCTGCCCTCTTCCTGCTCATCTCCCTCAACCTTTTGATGCGGGTGAAGTGACGGTGGAAGGAGAGCCGCAGTCCTGCTGCCGGGCAGGAGTGACGTGTGCCGGGTGGGCTTCGTGCAGGTAAGATGGGAATAACATGGGSTCATTCAAAAGATAAATATGCCTGCTCCCTCCCTCCCAAGCACGACGAGGCAGAGCGTGCTGAAGCTGGGGTCGTGTCTGAGTCCAAAAGGTGCCTTTTTCRTGCTGCTGCTTGCACAAAATGGGCTGTGTTGGGCCTGGGTGATTTTTTTGTTTGTTTTTTATGAGGGGGCCTCCTTCTCTCGTGTTGTTATCACCCAGCTCTGATGACAAGCTTGGGGTGTCCGTGGGGCCAGCGTGAAGGAGCTTGCCCTGGGTGGGCAAGGCCAGATTTCCTGCAAGGAGGCAGCAGCCCGTACTGCAACCGGGGATGGTTTCCAGAGCATCTGAGCTCTCCAGTGAAGAGCTGTTAATTATTATGCTGTAAATTACTTAATAAATGAGTGTTCTTCCCGGCACCTATTGCTCCATGTGGCATCTGCTGAGCGCCATAAAATGCAAGTAATTGTGGTTGCGGAAAGGTTGCACCCTGCCCTTGGAATTAGATTAGCGGTGGCTTGAGCTGCTCTGGGCAYGTCAGCTTTGCACCTTCTATTTTTCCTCCCGTTTGCTGTTGGTCTTGGTGGCCCTCGGCTGTAGGGAGGTGTAATCATGGGGTGGGTGGAGGTTTTCAGGGGTGTTTTGCACTGTACACTGCTCCGGCCTTGCTTCCAGGTGGAAGGGGAAGCGGAGATGGGGAGCGGAGTGGAAAAGCAGCCGCACGTGGTTCAGCGTTATTTGACATTTAAGGGCAGCAGCTTAGATCCATTTAGGAGGGTTTCTGACGCTGTGAGCCGCAGAGCCTCTCCTTAGGGCAGCCTGTACGTAACCATTTTGCTCTTGGCATCCTATGGTTAAACAGGGCAATCACAGGGACGACGTGCAGTTTTTAYTCCAGGGTATCCAGCTCAGCCCAGCTGCTTTCAGTAGGGAACATTTCCAGCGTTTCAGGTTGTGGTAGGATTTAATTTCCAAGCAAGATATTTTCAAACACGAAACACTCCGCCTCTCATTGCATTTTTCTGGATGTTTTAGCTGTTGACCTTTAAATGAAAATACTTAAGTCATAAGTAGGTCTGGGAGTCTTCTGATGTGCTGTGATAAATTCTGTATTTTCTGTACAAAAGTCTTTGTGGCCAAGGGCAAAATCAAAGGACAGATTTCAGATTTTCTGGACAAAATCCTTTCTGCAGTTCAAACGGATCAGCCACATTGACTGATTTGGATCACTCAGGAGCCATACAAACAATATATTCCTCTTTAAGAAACTGAGGCTCAGTTTTTGCATGGGATGGAAGTTTCTGTGTAAAGCTGCAGTCTATCGGCAGCTTTATCTGTGCCAAGTAATACAAAATAAATCCTCCTAGTGTTTGCTGTAAAAGTGGCTGGAAATATTTGTGGTATATCCTCAGAGCAGGGTTTGAACACACTGAGAACATGAGCAGCAAATACAGTCCCAGCATTATTGCTCCAGTCTCAGGGTCAGAAATGGAACAGGTCTACCAAAAAGTGAATAAAAAAGGGTGTTCTGGATCCCATCCAGAAGAGCAACAGCCTCTTTTCATGGCCTGCAGGAACTGCTGCTCTGGCACGGGGTGGCGAAGGCGGCCTCGCCTTGGGAAGTGGCTAATACTTCCCAAATTCCCGGGAGAAGCCGTGGGTCTTTGCACGCTCGCGCTGGCTGGCTCCGTGTTTCCCTTTGGAGCATCCCTGCTGTGTCCACGTGTGTCCCTGCTGTGTCCACGTGTCTTGGCAAGGGTTGCTTCCCAGGGACTGTGTGCCGTGACCTTCCAGCTCCGGGACGTCTGAAGCGGACGTTGCTCTCTGCTCCAGAAGTTGCCTCGCTGTTGGGATAACACGTTTCCTAGGAATCTCTGCAAGTTTTCCAGCTGGTAACTGAACGCATTTATTTGCTGTCAATAAACCCCCTGCTTCACGTACCCGGGGGCTCTTTCAGCGGCATCAATCCACATAATAATTTTCCTTGGGGTTTTACTTATTTATAGCTAAAATCTGTCTTGATCTCACCAGCTTGATCTCACCTGCCTTGCTGAACACTGAAAGGAATGAGAAGGAAAAAAATACCTTGCTTCTGATCCCTATCCCTCCTTGATGGGAAAAATGAACTTTTAACTATGACCAGAAGTGACGAGGATAGACAAGAGAGCCAAAACAGGAGTGAGAAAAGCCTGGTCTATCTACTAGGAGAGAGGAAGGCTCTGCCCTTCAGTAATATAAACTATTTTTAATGTCTACAAATTTGTTAACATCTGTTTAGTGCATTTTCCACTTGAGAAAGCTGTATCATCCATTCTGAACGGCTCAACAGCTAAAATTCCAGCTATGCCAGAGCACAGGAATGTGGGAGTTATGAACAAGGAACATTTCAAAACTAAATTCCTAGTTTGTTAGGGAAGAATTCACACCTCTGAAGCTCTGCTCTGTTTCCTGTCTTGTCATTGGCATCTCCACCGTTCCTGCAGGGCCTCAAGGTTCTTAGGCACAGTTTATTTTTTGTCTGGTTGTTCTTTCCCTTTTTTTTTATTTTTATTTATTTATTTTTGCTTTGCTAAGATACTGAAGACTAAATACCTGCAACATATTCAGAAATACAGAGAAAAAAAAGTGTATAAAAATATTGTTTAAAAAGAAAACTGTTCAAATAATTCCAGATTAAAAAAAAATACATATACCACTTTGTAAACTGTTAAATCAATTCCATAGGTACCCTACCCAGTAACAGTCTGCAAACAGATCGCTGCACTTGAATATATAAAAATGTCTCTGAAATAGGAAGGTCAAGAACGAATGAACAAAATGGAAATGAACAGCCGTGCCTCTGGGAACTTGTGAAGCCCTCTGTGCTGATCTCAAGCCAACCTTTTTGGGGAGAACTCCTCAGCAGGGGCCCCTAGCAGCCGCAGAGAATGCACCCTCTTCTCTCCCCAGGCTGTAAATACCAGGGAGAGGGTATTCCTCCAGCCGGTCAAACTCGTGCAGGTGGAAGTGGGTTGCCAGCTGGTTTACCATTTTTTTCAGGGCGAGAAAGCCTGCAATGACTTGGAAGGTGAGGAAGAGAGCAAAGATGATATTGACTGATCGTTCCAGCGGCTGGATTTTCAGGGCTTCGTTGAACAGCAAGAAGAGAATTATAGGCAACTGCAGCAGAAGACTTAGGAGCCAAAACCCAGCCAGCTCGGGGACCTGCAACAGGAAGACGTTGGTTACTTAAAAACTGGCAGGTGGACTAGAAGAAATACAGAGCTTTGCAGATACAGAGCAGTTGACAAAACACTTTTGTGGTGCAGGAGATCTTTCTGAGGGGAAAACCTACTGGAATGCACAAATGATACGGGAAGCAAAAGCAAGGGGACAGAAGATGCAGACAGCTCACAGAAATAACTGCCTCAAATCTCTTAGAGGAGCAGGCAGACCATTTTAATTACACTCAACCTCAATTAAATGTTCCTGTTGCCTTACGAAGGATAACATACCTTCTCCTGGAGGTTGCCCATGTAGCCCAGGTAGAGCCGGACAAYCTCTATGAGCGAGGCTAGGATGATGACAGTGACCACGATGAACTTGTAGTAATCTGATAAGGCTGGATACTAGAGGAAGGAAGAGAGGAGAAGTTTCAATCATGCTGCTTCATAGTGTGGTTAAACAAAGGCCCTGGATGCTATTGTAAGTTGGCTGTATTGTATTGGCTTTCAAATGTTCTCAGAGGCTTCAGTTTCAAGCAATTCCCACACAAGCCTACTGGATTCTAACTCCAGTGGCTCCACCTCTGAGAGAGGAGGTGTCTGATCACATATACACTACATTTCTCAACCATTACTTTCCTTCTGGACTCACCTTCATGTAGAGTATGACAACCGTGCTGATCCACCAAAGTGGGAAATAATAAACGTTGAAATAGAGGGACATCTGCAGTGGTAAACTGGAAATTATCTCATTATCTGTAGAGAGAAAGAAGTCTTTGTCATTCCTAGTTTGCTCCAGACTTCCCTTTTCTATGTATGGCAGAAAGATATTGCTCCATTTTAGCTTCAAGCTGGCTACTGCAATGATCTCAGACAAATTAAATATTAAGAATGGTATTTTCAAAGATCTTGAGAAAAACTTTGCCCTATCTTGGGTTACACCATTTCCCAGGGTCTAGTGTAATTTTCTGCTACAGGATATAGAATTTTGATCCCGTAGTTATAAATTCAAATCAAGGGTTTTAGTGTGGAGTAAATTATAACCTACCCGCTAATCAAAAATCTCTGAGCTAAACTGATAGGCTTAGTTCAAGTAGTAGTGTAGCCTTACATTGTGGGATTGGATATGGCATTAAAGTGGCAATCTATTGTTTTTTTTTAAGGAAATGTCCCAACCTTAAATGAATATATACGAGATTATCCTCATTTTGCAGCTGACCTTCCTGAGTAGGGACTTGCTGCTAGGGAGCAGGATGCATTGTCCACTCTCCATTTTAAATCACAGATATTTGAATGCACAGTATTATTGCAAAAAGGCAATGATTGTTTTAGTTCTTTGGAGCCAACCATTTGTTGTATGTATGAAACGTATCCTTTAAAGTTCACAGAGAAGGAAATGTGTAGCAAAATGCAAAGAAAAGTCAATATTGAACCGTATAACGCTATGCAGCTTGGAAGTTCTATATCCAGGACTTAACCATAAACTCAGAGGATTAGACTCAAAACAAGAAAAAGAATACAAGAAAAAAAAATTACTTGGGCATCCCAAGAGATTCACTTGTTTTTAATGGATTAAGTTTTATTGCCGTAGTTGAGTTAAATGATATCATATCCAACTTACTTTMATTACCAAATCTCATTTCTCACGTCTTCCCCAAATGCAGTTTGCAGACAAATCTTTGCTTCACGCTGCCTGTGAAAGCCTGGAAAGTTTTMATTGGGAGCTGATGAGCTGAACTTGCTGTTCTGTATGTAAACCCTGCACCCCAGAACGCCACGATGGTGACACCCAGTTGAAATTGAGACTCTCCATCAGCCACGTTTTTCAATTCTGAGTTCAGAACTCCTCTCTTCTGATAATGCCATCTCTTTTTGTATCTTCCAACCATTCCCATACCTGTCTGTGTTCCATCTCAGTCTGCATCCCTGTTTCCAGTCCAGCCACATGCATCCTGGTGCAGTCGGTTCCAGAAGTCTTTATGCCAGTTGCTGAGGTGCCCATGGTAGCTACTGGACTAGGTGGGAAGGGAGGAGGATTTGGGGACAGAACTGGGACAAATCTTAAAGGGAGGGTGTGAGGACTAGGGCAAATCTTAAGGAAAGGGTGTGATGGGCAAGGGCTTGCTACACTGAAATAGAAGGTGCGAGAAAACCAGTATTTCTTTTAATAATCTTATTTTTAAGTATCAACACTCTCCTACATCTGCAAAGGAATGAAAAATCTATAGGTACTCCAGAAGAGCGGCAATCTACCTAAATTTGTCCCTGTAACTGTTAGCTGTGCTAATGAATCAACCTTCAAATACCAGAAATCACGGATTTTAGAGGGCACTGACATACAGTTTTATAACATTGTTTTATCTTTCAAAAAAGACGGAGTATCTCATTATAAATAACCATGTTTGTGTCCCACACTTATTAGATGACAATGTCATGGTTCATGGCCATGGTATTTAAAAACAGAGCATTTAYGGTCTCTTCAGATTTTGTAATATGGCATTCATAGTGGTAAGCTCTTCTGCAGTTTTAAGATTGTGTTTTGGGTCAATGTTTAGCTATATAAATCCAATCTAAATCATCCTTCTACCTCTAAAGTGAACTGCTGCTTACTTTGAGGGGTTGTGAAAATATGCAGAAATGCCCTGGATTAGCCCCATGGCTAATTCTTTGGTGCCAGTGCACCTTGCTAATGTATATGTATGTAAACTTAAGATTTGAAGTCCGGAGATCAAACAGGTTAACGACTTATTTGCCATGGATTTTGCCATTCATATAGGTGTTTTCACGAAAGAAGGCTAACAGAAATGTGTTAAAATAGCATGAAAGGTGAGCAAAAGGGGGTGCATCACCTGACAGGTGATGAATTTAGGGACCCTACTGATGGAAAAAAAAAAAAGAGAAATGGCACACAGGAGGCTGCAGTTTTTGCTTGCTGTCTTTCTGCTCCAAACATCGGGTGTCTTAACTTTGTACAGGGTGGCGTTCTCCATAAATAATTTACGCTTTCTTTACTTGGCACAATCTGGATAACACCCGCTCGGTCGCGCTGAGGGAGGAGACCGCCCGCCTCAGGGCAACGACCCACCCCAAGATGGCGGTGGCCGCCATCTTCGCTCCTCGCCTCCGGCCCGCGCTTACCTGCGCTGCCGCCGCCCGCGGGCCGCGCGCCGGGCCGGCCGCTCTCGGTAAAGACGGTGCGGCTGAAGGAGCCGAGCCGCCGCCGCAAGGGCTCGGGCAGCGACATGTTGCGGGGCTCCGCCGCCCGCCCGCCTGGCTGCGGCGGCGCAGGCGCAGCGCGGCCCGCGGCCGCTGCCTCCTCCCGCCGCCGCTCGCCGCCTCAGGGCTGGCGCCTCGCAACGCGGCGCCCCGCAGCCCTCGGGACTATTTTATTTTATTTTATTTTATTTTATTTTATTTTATTTTATTTTATTTTATTTTATTTTATTTTATTTTATTTTAATCATTTCATTCCATTCCCTTAGTTTCTTTGGGTACTGTTGCCTTTCTTGTTTTATTTTGAGCATACATGGACGCTTTGTGTCTGAACCCCCAAAATGCTCTACTCTGCCACTGTTTTTTCTTTCAGATTCCTTCAGGGCTTGATGTCTTCTGAGGAGAAAGGGGGCGATTCTTAAGTGTGGAGGAAATTATTTCCTGCCTGGCTGGAATAAGAAAGCAGGTCTTCACCCTTCCTT